GTAGTTTTATATTTTTTAACAAAGATAAGAAACAATCCATTTTCCTTACACTTTTGATTCTATGCCTTCCTATGCCTTGTGCTTACACATTTAACACTAATGATTATCTGTAATTTGAGCAACAACGAACTTTAATAGAGACACAAATCTTGAAGACTTCCCAAAAGTTCCATTATGAATGTGCCTCGTGATGAGAACCCAACTCCATGGCTTTTGCACGTATATGTAGCTTCAATCTTTGCTAGAAAAACTAACATAACCTAATGTCTTCATCATTACTTTCCCAAATCAACAATAATCAAACAACTCACTCCAAAGACTTCATTAATTGGAATCATATTCAATGAGTACCTAATAAACAAGTTAAAATAAATCATCTTAAATGAGTAATAATAAATAGACAGTGAATAAAATAAACTAAAAGCTAAAAAGGCCAAAGCTACTCTATTGAAGTCAATAGAGAAACATGAACTCCAACTTCTTTGTTGATATCAACCATGGCCTGAAAATGTTGAACCATTAGAATATCCACCAACACATATAATATTGTAGCAAATGTCTGAGAATTAATCAATCCTTGATGAGCTTATGCCAAGCAAATAAGCAAAAAACCCTTAGAAGACCAAAGAACAAAATATGAAACTAGAATTTAGAATTTGAAGGTGTTGAAAGATCAAAATCTCAATGTATATACGTTGTAGTACCATGTCCCCCACCCCCCACCCCGCCTCACAACCCCCTCCAAAAAGAGGTGTTGTTTTATGTTTAGGAATTTAGAATAAATTTTCTGTAAGATACAAGAGGCCCCCTTCCTACTTCTGTTCTCTGCTTAAGCGGTCAAATGTAGGATTTTCCTGCCATTAATAAATCTTGCATTTGTTTTCACTCGAGCGAGAAGATATTGCAACAAAACTTTTACTTTGCTCACTTTTAATTACTCTCAATTTTTCCTCCAAAAATTCGAACTTTAATCCACATCCAAACATCCATGTACATGTCTTTTCTATATAATTGAATACCTTCAACTCCAACACCCTCCAAATTAGTGAAATTCAATAATCTAAATTCCTACTACAATATTGCTATTATTGCAACAAGGAATACAAATAAACATAAAAAACTCAAATTTACAGCTAAAAGAGAAATAACGTGAAAAATAAATCACTAATCCATTATATCACGTATTTATGATTGATATCAAAACAACAAAGGGACTTCATTGATAAGTTTTATTAGTAATTTCTTTATCATGTTATTGAAACAATTTTTGTTTATAACAATGCTAATGTATAAATTCCACTGTAACCTATCATCTTCAAAATTTCAAATGTATCAAAAATTCATAAATGTTAAAAAAACTCAACTAAAATTATAAAAATAAACCATGAAACCATATATAATCCCCCTTTTTAAATACTTTTTCATGTTATTCCTACACCAATTGAAGCACAAAATTACATTTCAAAATGGGGAAAAAATTTTGAAGGAAAAATTACCTTTTTACTATACCAATTTGTAACAAAGAAAGATGATGTAGTGTGAAAAAACTTGAATGGAAGAAGAAATTTTTTGTAATCTTGAAATGCACAAGAAATTGAGGAAAAGAAGTAGACGTTATTTCAAATTTAAAGAAAATGGTTTCACATTGAAATTGAAGAAGAAAGGAGGTGAAAATGAGGGAAATTGGGTTAATATTTTACTATTAAATGAAGGATAATTTTGTCATTTGGCTAATAAAAATATCTCGAATTTTTTCTTAATGTTGGTCAAATGCCATTTCTCCAAACACTTTATCCAACCCGGCTATTTGGCCAAATTTTCAAAAATTATATATTCGGGTCGGGCTTTGATCGTGGTATAAAGTTAATTTTTTCTTTTTATACTTCACCAATGGTTACAAAAAAAATTTCGTAACTCATTTAGCCTATGTTTGAGTTACATTTTTTTTCAAAATTTATTTTCAATCAAAAGTTTCCCCTAAAAAATAGTCTCAAACTGGGGGGGTTAGTCCGTAATGTTTAATGATATTGCATAGTTGATCATTTCTTTAGTGGCGTCTACTCTATATTTGACGTCTGGCGTTAAACCTTGCATTGAATCATGATCGTCACATCCATGTCATATAATTACATATGTTTAAAATAAAAAGCAACTGTAATGGACCAAAGGAACATTCAGCCCGAAAATTCGAAATCGTTCCATTTAATCGTCTTCTTATTTTTCATCATTAATATACAATAAAAAAGTTGTGACAGAGATATTACTATCAATGTCTTAAAAATCGACTTGAACATTGGTCTAGAAAAGGTATAATAGTAATTTTAATTTTTATCATGAATTAGATTGATTTTCAATTTTTCTCATCGATCCTACTTTCCAAAAGATCCAATGAATTTGGAAATAGAGACTCCCCCCACCCAAAAAAGAAAAAAAGAAAACAAAGGAGAACTGTGATAGTTTACCGACAAAGTTTGCATGGAAAGCAATTGTTTGAATGCTTATCAAACCGAGGCTAAATGTAGAATGAAAATTTTTTTTATTCGAATTCATTGTAATTTTCACTATGATACCTACAGTCACTTGTTTTCGATGATTTAGTTAGAAATGTGAAAAGTGAGCGGAACTTATCATATATAAAGCCCAACCCGCCATCAGACCGCCTAATTTATCATTTATTTTTCTGGCATGGATTCCTTTTTCAAATTTTCAGCTTCAGAGCAAAAAATATTCAGATTTGTGTTTGAGCCATATTTTTATGAAAAAATACATTTTAGAATAGCAGATTGATGAAAAATATATAATTTAAAAATAAAGAAAAGTTTTTTATTTACGTTTAAAATTTGTTGACTATTTTTGTGTCAATCTCTTCCCTATATGGGATAGTAAATTGGTGAAGAAACACGATTTCTTTAATGTCTAAATATAGGGTTTAAAATTGAGAAATGTAGTCCCAGTTTCATCCCGGTGTATTATTTTTCAACTTTGAACAAACAAAATTTCCTTCACCTCCCTCATCAATTCTGGTTTTTAATCTTTTATGAGAACCCTTTTTTTTTTTTTTTATAATTCAGGTGTTCCAACTTCGCCTAACTAATCCTGAGGAGTGACAGCCTTCCTCCCTGGTTCGCCACCCAGATAAATTCGGATGCGGACACAACTTATACACACTTGGTCCGGACATTCAGAATACGGTTCTTCTCCCTGTAGACCTTCATTTATGACGTGCGGACAGAACCCTCGGAGGGGCGACAAAACGCACCATAACTTTGCTTCCACAGAACAACTGCCTTCCAACATAAATGTTGCCTTCCAGCTGCCACGAGGATTCAAACCTTTGATACTCCGTGTGGAACCCTCTTGCTTTACCACTGCGCCATGCCCGTGGAGGCAGCACATCTTCTCTTCTACTACAATCTGCCAAAAGCCTTAAACTCAAGGTTGAACTCGTAGATAGTGCTTCAACCTGCCAGTTATTATGGTAGATAGTTTTTCATGGTGTAGAGAAGGGCAAGCTCATAGTAGTCTATTTCTGTGCACTCTTAACCATAAGATGAGAAGTTTCTAAGAATATGGTAATTCAAGAAGGTACTAGATGGAAGCAGCACTGATGGTGATGACACTGTCATCTTTGCCAACAAAACACTTTCATTGGTTACTTTCCGTGTGCAGTGAGATAAGCCTTAAGAGAATCGCCTGCTGCAGTTTCCGTGCAACTATACCCCATCCTTCGCATCTTCCCTACATCTTAAATCCCCCAGTAAATAATCATAGAAAAAGAGTCTTAACATTTCCTGGCGCATAAAATAAATTAGTGTGTTGCGGAAGATGGCTCCAAGGTGTTTTCCAGGCTCAATCAATCCGATCCACCCTTATTGAACAACCTCAAATCAACAGCTCAACCCACGACTTTCTATTCACTTCGTTGCTCTAGTTACACATATACTAGTGAGAAAACGTGCGTTGCATGTTATTTGGTGAATGTTAAATATAAGCGTATGGTGATAAATTTAAGCATTATTGGAGCAATAGCATCAATAGCTGTTGTCGTAAATTAATGACACTTGATGAATCTTTGAATAGATTAGAAGTAAATCTTAAGTCTTTTTATACCCAAAAATGAACTTTTAGCTGAGCAATATTTGAGAAATATAAAGCCCTATGAATTTTTCAATGTGTTCAACCAACATGAATCATCATTTTATTCTCTTGCTAGGTAGATTGATGTCACAGTGAAATTGATGTTTTCATATACCAACAAGAAGTATGAATATTTCTTTCGTACCTATTGAAAAAATCTTTTTCTGCTTTGAAGATCTCGGTACCATATCGCGCAACTCGTCGATGGATGCGCCTTAGAACATATTTACGACATTCATTGCTTGCCGACAAGCAAAGATTTATATGGAATCCAATAGAATGTATTTTAAAGATATTATTTCAAATTTCAAGATGAAGATTATAGATAGGTAATCAAAAGGAAATGTAGTGCTCTATTAAAATATAATCCAATTAGCCGATCTTAATGTTCAAACAGAACTAACTTATGATGCCTCTAAATCTGGCTGCCACATGACAGAGTACCAAATCATTCTTTGCATAAATTCTGATTTAGATTCAAACCCACGAAAGTAAATACAAATAACAAAAACAATAAGCAGAATGGAGGCAAACCAAAACGCATATATAATATATGAATATAGGCAAATGTAAGCATTATAAAAACACACACCACCATGTGCATAAATTCAAGTACACATGAATTCAACAGATGTAAAACTTAGTGTGCAACATCCAGAAAGTAATTAACAATCCAATTATTAGTAGAATTAGAGAGATTATAAAGTGTTAGTTTCCAGAAAAAAATATACAAAAAAACAGTTCAACGTAATTCACTTGCAACTATCATTTATTTGTAACTTCAATGGGCTGAATGAATAGCGAAGAAAATGAAAGCCTGAAGTTTACAATACCAACTTCCTTGTCAATGTGAAATAACTTTATCATATTCCATGGCAGAGGTCCACATTTTGAGTTGGTTGAGGTGATGAGGTAGCTGGTGGATTGGGAGGAGGAGGACGCTTTGTAGGTGGATCAGAAGGTCGTGTTGGAGGAGGAGGACTGGAAGATGGTGATGGTGAATTGGATGAAGGTGAAGGTGTAGGCTGAGGAGGGGGAGACGTAGTAGTTGGTGGGGTAGACATTGAAGGAGGGGATGCTGGTGAGACAGGGAAGTTATTAAGCATCGCACGAATGTTAAAAATAACAATGCAGAAACTTTTCGTACTAACCTTCGTTTCTGCTTCAGATTCCATCATCACTTAGATTAAATGAGAGCAATGTATTTACAAGAAAACAGATATCGGCTTCAGTCAGATTTCTATATGCCTAAATAAAACTCCAAAGCAAGGACTATGTATTTTTTGTATCAACTGTCCTCAAAAGCAGGAAAAGACTACACGATCAATAGAGTATAAATTGATAGATAGTACTCTTGAAATTATTAAAATATGTGGCAATCATGGTATAAGTAGAGACAGAGATGATTAATTTCAAATTTTTATACATTTGTCTTTATCCATTTTAAATATTGCAAACCAAAGTTAAATTTTTAGCATGATATATAATGAAATAGGAATGCAGAACCTTCTTTCTCATTTTTCATTTTAGAAGTACATAACAAATCAAACTGTAAGTTGCACTTGAACTAAAATCATTAGCATGAGAAAACCATTGATCACAGCATAGATTAAAAATACAACTTCACAATTTTATATAACATAAAAGATAACATCTCCTTTCCATTTGCATTTGAAGATAAAACTTATACAATGTGATAAATCAGCATCCATTATGAGAACAAAATTGCTAGGGGTATGCTTCAGACTATGCATATAAACAGTCCCTGAAATGAAATCAATTAGGACCACTTCATGGTTATCATTCAAAATAATGAAAGCCTAAATACACATCTAAGTCGAGCTCAATAAAAGAGAATTTACGAAAAATATAAAGCTAAGGGCTAAAATTTCCAATGAGAAACATATGTCTGCCCCACATTTTTCTTGACAATTGACCAAAATATCATGTAATTTAATCGCGTGGACCTGGAGTGCAGGCAGGGGTATTGCTCTACCATGATGGAGTATTCTAGCAATCAAAAGCAAGTGGTTTAATTGTACCTTAAAATGGGGTCACATTGATATCCAAATATGTAAGTATAACTCTGGGAAGCCAAAACCAAGATTTTTCAACTTTGATTTTCAGCATTTGCATACAAAGTGAATGACTATAAAACTTTTGTTATATTAATCAAACCACTAACATGAGTTGCACAAGCTTTAGACAAAGAGATGTTGTTTTGCGCGGGTTGTCGCTAACAATTAAAAAGGGATCAGAGGATTGTGTAAAGAACAAACCTCTTGAGACAAAGTCCCGAAAGGGAGTGTTTTATTGGCGATGACTTTACAATTGGAATTTAAACAGAATGTCTCCAAGGGCGCAAGCACACGAGTACTAAAAAGAAATATATTTTAAGTCTAAACTAAGAAATTGAAATTACATATTCTCTGTTTGAGAGTGTTTGATTCGGGGTCCTTTTGCTCTATGTGTTCTCTTCCTTTTATATTCCCTTGATGATCTATTTGTGATCAACTGCTTAGAAACTGCTTAATGCTTTATAACTGTCCACTTTCTTCATGGTAGCCAACTTATCGTGGAACTGCCGTCTCTAACTGCTGTCACTACTCTTTGTCGCTCAACCGTCTTCAACCGCACTCCTTGAATCGTGGAACGTGATAAGATTACTCAATAACTGCTTCGATAACTACACTTTTGGATAACCATAACGTCTTATGTTTGCTAAGATCCTGGGCGATTCGAAGGTTAGGGCAAGAACAGGGTCATAGCTCTGCGCGACTGCAAGGTACTTCATTCGCTTAGATCTTAGGCGTCTTGCAAGTTTGGGCGATGGTGTTACCGCGTTCGTGGGCTTCCACTGCATTCATTAATAAACTTATTTGGGCCTTTATCCTGAATTGCTCAGTTGGACTTCATTCTTTGGGCTATTCGATTTGGGCTGCACTTTTAGCGTGTCAACAATTACCCCCCAATATGGCAGAATTAATACCAACTATTAATTTTTGCCATATTCTTTGTATTTCCCAGCAACATATGAAATTCTCAAGAATTTCAATCATTATTTCTTCCATAACCTGAAAAGGCGCGACGTTGCAAACCCTTATAACCCCCAAATACACATCATTTCATCGCACTACTAAATCACGCCGATTTGGGCTGCACTTTTAGCGTGTCAACAATTACCCCCCAATATGGCAGAATTAATACCAACTATTAATTTTTGCCATATTCACTTTGTATTTCCCAGCAACATATGAAATTCTCAAGAATTTCAATCATTATTCCTTCCATAACCTGAAAAGGCGCGACGTTGCAAACCCTTATAACCCCCAAATACACGTCATTTCATCGCACTACTAAATCACGCCTCATTGTTCTGCGCTTCTCTCTCGCAATATTACTGTTCATCTTCTTACTTCTCTGCTACGTTTCTCAAGCAAATTTCAACAAAACTTTATGTCATTCCTAATGGCTGCTTCACAATCCCAATCTGGTGACTCTTTCAGTTTTGAAGACTTTCAGAAAATCCTCACTCGGCCATATATAACTCCGAACTTCCTTGCACCAGCCAATGTCGAACTCAATGAGTTCTATTTAGGTCCTTCATTCAACAACACCGAGGCCGTCGCACAAGTGGCGGTGGGCCATCTGTTCCCTTATACTCAAGGCCCTCCGTTTCTAAACTCTTTGTCGTTAAGGCCGCTTCGTGAAAGAGGTATTCGTACTTGGCCTAAATCTGACGTTTTCCGTAGATGGCATGCTCGCCTTGTGGACCATGGTCCTACCAAGGCGATTTTTTATAGTGCTTGAATTTTTGATTTGTTAGAAATCTCTCTTCAACCCCCTATTTTTTATCCAGCGCTTTTCCCTATTGCTTTAAGTTTTCGGTCCTCTGAGTATAATACTTTTGTTTTCCCCCTTGGTCCCATGTCCATTACTTTAAGGGATGTTGGGGCCTTAGTAAATCTGTCACCTTTGGGCGATACCATTTTCCCTGGTATTTTAATTTCTGGTGTCGCCCCAAAATTTGACAGAAAACTCACTGAGTCCTATTCAAGCTTGCAAAACTGTTATAATCACTCGAGCGCTGAGCCTTCCCATGCTGAGCGTGTGGCCTTTCTTCAGATTTAGCTTTGTAAATATGTTCTGTGTGTGCTCAGCATGAAGCCTTCTATGAGCTATTTACCCATAGTGCACGAATTGGCGCATGGTAGGCCTCTGAATTTGTGTTCTTTTTTTTTTTGCAAAACTGTTATAATCACTCGAGCGCTGAGCCTTCCCATGCTGAGCGTGTGGCCTTTCTTCAGATTTAGCTTTGTAAATATGTTCTGTGTGTGCTCAGCATGAAGCCTTCTATGAGCTATTTACCCATAGTGCACGAATTGGCGCATGATAGGCCTCTGAATTTGTGTTCTTTTTTTTTGCTGCCCTCTATAGAGGCATGGCTTCTCTCCAATTCCAATTGAAGAATGGTGCATCTCCCACTGGCAATGGACCTCTTTGGTTCACTCAAATGTGGTTGAGAGCCTATTTTCCATTCCTTCTTTCTTTCCTTTTCCTCCCTTTTTAACTCCAAATTATGTGCAACCCCCATCCACTCTGGACAGCGCGAGCACCTCTTTGCTCGTTTGGGTTCAGTTTTTAACCGAGAAGGAGTTGTTCCATGATATTTTGACTGGAACCAATGCCAAAGCTGGGGTTGAAATATATGCCCCCCGAATTCAATTCCTTCTTTCTTTCCTTTTCCTCCCTTTTTAACTCCAAATTATGTGCAACCCCCATCCACTCTGGACAGCGCGAGTACCTCGCTGCTCGTTTGGGTTCAGTTTTTAACCGAGAAGGAGTTGTTCCATGATATTTTGACTGGAACCAATGCCAAAGCTGGGGTTGAAATATATGCTCAATCATAGCCATGCCATCCATCCCCTTTTTGAACAACTCTGGCCATCAGTACAGCGCAGATTGTTTGCAACTGATGCCAATCACGCTTTCCATTCACTGGATCAGCTAGACATTTCTTCCACTTCTCCTATTTTGGTCACCCCTGTGTCCATTAGGAGTCCTTCATCTTCTGCTCGTGCTAAATAGTCTGTTCGTCCACTACATCTCGTCCTACCAAGCCCACTGCAGCTAAGAGTGCCCCAAGCCGTAAACGGCTAGCCTCAGCATCTCCCATTTTGGAGGATGATGATGATGACACTCCTCTCATTATCAGGAGAAAGGTAATTAAATTAGTTTACT